CTTGGTGAATTAAATATTCAGACACACAATCAATATTACATTCATAAATTGAAGAGGGATCATATTCTTGTTGATCAAGAAAAAAAAAATTTTCATATAAAATATCTTGAGATGTTGTCCTCTGATAATATGTCCTCATTGGAGGAGCTTATGCATATATTGGAGGTTGAGATTTTGGTTTAGAAAATTCAATTTTATTTATTTCTTCAGACTACATTTGGTATAGAGAATTTTTAAAATTTTGAATTTCAGTTTCAGATTGCTCTTCACCTTTTGTTTTAGAAATAACATTTAATGATAGTTCTTTTAATTTATCTTTGAGTGCATTTATGAACTCATCTTCCACTTTATTATGAAGATTAAAGGTGGAAGTATCAATTTGTGATTTAATATTGACTTGTTCAACTTCATTGTCCTTATAGGTGTGTGAAGATGATATTTACTGTGAATTTATTAAGTTCTCAATTTTAGTGAGATGTTGACTTATAGCTTGAAGACAAACATTAGTGTAATTATTTTGTTTTATAGAAACAGTATTGCTTGCATAACAAGCATTTATAAAAATTTCTTCAGAGTTATTCAAATGTAACTTTATTGGTTCAGTTGTTGGGGGATAAAAACTATTTATAATTTTTCCATCAAGTGTTTTCCATTTATGTTGAAAAATTTCTATAACATTTAAATGTTCAATAATAGGAGGAACATAATAAGTTAAAAATCAATTAACAAAAGGAATTATCTTTCTTTCCTTTTTTATATAAAGGAGAAACATTTCTTTATAATTTTGAAATTCTTCGGAACTCATAGTTTTAAAATACCAATTTCTGAATTATTCATATTTAGAAAGATAAAATTCTTTATTACAGGTTTCCTTTTTCATTTGAAATTTTGTTGAATCTAATTTCATAAAAATTATAGTTTAAATCCAATTTCGGATGGGGTTAAATCAAAGTCTTTATCAAAGTCTTCTTCTTGAGAAGATATGTTAACAGGTCGATAGATACTATGTAGAATATTATTTTTTGAAATTTTAATTCCTTCAATTATGGGTTCTTTATCTCTTCTTCGATTTTTTGTACTGATAAAGTAGATTTTCTTAAAGGTATAAAAGGAGTTAAAGGTGTTGTATAACCTAATGAAATTTCTGATTTATCAGAAGATTGCAGATAATTTCTAGAATTTATTCTTGCAAATTTTATGGTGACATCACCCTGAGATGATTGGGCGATCTAAGTTATTTCGTTATTTATTTTTGGTTTTTAGGGACCACAGACTCCAATTGTCAGGTATCTGAAAATTGGATATTTGATTATTTAATGATTTTTGGAACTTCAATTTTATTTTTAAGGTCAGACCACTTTAATTGAAACCAATACGGTTAAAAATAAAATTACCCAGAAATGATAAATAAACTTAGTGTTATAACTGTTTAAAACTAAGTTATTGCATATAAACATGCATATTATTTTGATAAATATAAAAATATTTTTTATGCATATAGAAGTACATATTATTTTAATCCATATACGAATACTCATTATTTTAATGCATATAAAAATGCTTATTATTCTCCACTCTCTATAAAGACATCATCACATAAAGGTGATATAGATGATAACCCATCCAAACAACTTAAAATTTTTGATTCCTTGTCAAATAAAGTTGACAGTAAAGACAAGTTGTGGCCTTTCCTGCGCAACTTAGGTGGAAGGCGAAGAAGGCCTCCTTCGGGGGGGCCCGAGCCATCAGTGAGATACCACTCTGGAAGAGCTAAAATTCTAACCTTGTGTTAGGACCTACGAGCCAAGGGACAGTCTCAGGTAGACAGTTTCTATGGGGCGTAGGCCTCCCAAAAGGTAACGGAGGCGTGCAAAGGTTTCCTCGGGCCGGACGGAGATTGGCCCTCGAGTGCAAAGGCAAAAGGGAGCTTGACTGCGAGACCCACCCGTCGAGCAGGGACGAAAGTCGGCCTTAGTGATCCGACGGTGCCGGGTGGAAGGGTCGTCGGAGATAAATCTCTCCTTATTATTCCAAAATCTTTGACTTTGTCCTCATATATGGAGCTTCATAACTTCATTGAAATTATATATCCTTATGATATTAATGACCCTAGACAAATCAGGGAATATTTAGTCAAATTTGAAGAAAATTACCCGTTTGATTTTAAAAGTGAAATCCTAGCAGAATATCTTAAAGACATAGATAAAGAAGAAGATATATCTTCAATTGATAAAGTTTTATCTTCTGCAATGATTCCCTTTACCAGTATAAACACTGGAACTAATTTCAACCCTGTTAAAGTTCTTAAAGAACTAATTAAGCAAGAAAATCTCATTTAAATTCTGAGCAGCTTAAAGCAGTAGTTGTGGAGGAATTCAATTTTCAGATCATGTCTACTTTTGGCATGAGCAAATCTGAAAAGATAAATCTCATCAACGCTCCTATAGTTGCCATAAAAGGCAAAGAGAAATATAAAGTTGAGGAAGAAAATAGGAAATTTTTCACTCCTATTAATTCTGATAACGATTTTATGGATTTTCAGGGATATACCCCTCTTAAAAATGACATTGAAATTAATGAAGAATTGCTAAATGTTGATATAGAGATAAATCTCCATGATAACAGAGATAATGTATTGTCTACTTTATTTTTCAGGAAATGATCAAATAAAACTGATTTTTTGGATAAAGCCGATCTAGAAGCAGTGACGCACACCCTGACATCACTACGAAGAAGTGACGTATGCCCTTACGTCACTATATGTTCTGTAAATAGTGTACAATAAAAAGCGTATAGTATTTATGACGCATGTAATGACGTCATTGTAAATTATTAAAGTTAGGAACAGTATAAAGTTGTGAATAGTATTTTTTGTTTTAAAATCTAGATTTCATGTCCGACTCCATATAAAGGGGTGCAGGCCCTACTTGTGGAACACCGCCCCCATACCTCAACTCTATCTTGACTACATCATATAGATAGACCGCCCCCTTGACCACCCCTAAATCTCTAACCACTCCCTACACCTTTATCCACTCTTTCCTTCCTTCCCTCTTGCACCCTTGGTGAACCCTTCTTTCTCGTACAAACCCTCCTTCTTCCACCTTTCACTCTACTACTGTAAGTAGACTCTACTTTGTAAATACACTTTTGATATAAATAAAAGTTTTTTTTCTCTCTCTCTCTATATATATATATATCTCTTCTTTTTTTTCCTGATAAAAAAAAAAAGAAGCACCACCAGTAACAACAACCAAGCACCACCACCACTCCATCTCTTTTCTATCTGCCTCTCCATTGCAACCCCACCACCACCGCGAATAGCACCACAAGCATCACCTGCGCCCTGTATAGCATACCACTCTAGGGTTTTTTATCCTCTCTTCCCCTTTTTCACTGGTCCCCCGCTTCCAACGGCGCCAAATCCTCCTCATTGGCAAGGTAATGTATATATATATATATCAGTTGAGAGATGTTTGGGGCATGTCGGGAATTAGAGAGAGAGAAAGAGAGAGAGAGAGAGAGAGAAAAACAAAGATTTAGAAGTTAGAACCAATACCCAATTTAAAGCTAATCCTTCATCAGGAACTTGATTGGAGCTTTCATTATTTGTGGTTGATCGTCCATGCAACTTTTCAGCTATGCATCAGAGAGCGTGAGAGGGAGAACTTGAGCTTGATTGCCCATAGAGGTCCCGAAAAATCATGTTGTATTAACTGTGTTATTTTTTGTCCATGGAGATAATGGATGTTTGTTGGTTAGCAAGAGAGAGATTAAAAGAGGTGTTTTTGTGAAAGTAAAAGCCTTTTTTTTTTTAACTTTTACTTATTAACTTAATTAAGTGATAACATTACTTTTAACTTATTTAAAGTGTTTTAAATAAGTAAATCCAAGCACTACTTTATTTTTGTTAAAGTGCTTATAATAAGTAAAAGTCACAAAAACACTTTTATTTAAGTCACGCCAAGCAATCTTTGAATCCTTATTTTTTGTTGTCAGGAGAAGACTTATGATTAGTTTTTTTTTTTTTTTTTTTCTAACTGGACTTATGTTGGTTTTTTTTTTTAACTGCACTTATATTTGATTTCATAAATTATTATAAAATACCAAAAAGATCTCTTATGAATCAAAATATAATGAGTGAGAAACCTTAAGGACTATAGATGCAATTTATATTATATTTTAAAACATTTATAATTTTTTTATTTTATGATCGATTTAATTAGTTCACCCAACAGTTGAACCAATGAACTATTGATCATGTCTTATAATAAAAAAAATAAAAAAATATAATGAGTAAGGTATTCTTTCATATGTTGGACAATCTGTGATGTTTTATGTTGGACAATATTATTGGATTAGTTTCACATCATTCTAATCCAAACGTAATATAAGATTGAATTACATTTATTTGCAAAAAAGCGTAATGGTCATTTTAGTATTTTTTATCTTCACATGTTAATGGGACCCTCACAAGAAATGGTAACCATCCAAAGATGGGATATGATAGGATACTTTACATCAGGATTGATTCAAATTGGACTACTTTAAATTGACTTGACTTAAATTCGGATTCAAATCCAATCCACCCATAGCGATCCAAACACCCCCTGAGTAACAATTCACACCCTGGATTGATAAGAGGGATCTGTTCTAAGCCTAAATGTATTCTCTGGCTGTTTGATCTAGTTCTATCATCATCCAATTAAACCAGCAACTACAACATATATGGATTTTTTTTTTGCCCAGAATTGTTCAATCAATTCACAAGCTATATTTGCCCACAAAACAAGCACACATTTGCTTGGTAAAAATCAATACAGATTTTTAAGAATTGTACTTGTTCTATAACGATTAAGCGAACCACGCTCGTAATAACGAATCTACAAGCAATATGCAAACGGAAAAGTGAATTCATATCTATTCAGCAAAAGGACACATTTAAGTTCGAAAAATCTGTCCCTTATTAAAAAATAATAAAAAAAGACTGATTAAAGCGTTTAAGCTTGGGCGCCAAGCTCCAGTAGTAGAGTGTGATTGATATCGTTTGCCGTTGGACCAACAAACTGCACAGGACCTGATAAAAACAAGATCGAAAATCAGAAAACAGGTCTATACTCATAAGTTGGACTTTATAGGCAGTCTTTGATAAAATGTTACATAGACAATTTCAGAAATGCATTAACTTTCATAGGCCACTAAGTTTCGGGTTGGAGTTTGTCATCATCATGCAATATTTTAAATTTGGTTGATATCTCTGCCAAAATCATTATGAGCTCAATCACACAGCTGCCATTATGCAAGTAATTTTCTGTAATTTATAATTGCATCTCCTGTCGTCTTTTCAGTGACACATAAGGCTTCTCTCAGCTCAGTTTTTTTGGTTCTTGAGAATGATCGCCACCTCTCTAAGGACCGGAATGATTATCCCTGCTTGATTCATACGGTACTGTTAACTTGCCCACCATTCTTGTAACTCTCACCTGTCATCTGCACAAGTGTGCCCGCACCCCCTGAGTGGATGAGAAAGAAAGGATTTCTCAGAGCAACCCCCAAGTTCCAGACTCAAGTGTCAACTTTCCCATATGAGCATTCAGTATATGTATCAGTCCGTGGAAGAGTGAAAGGGTCACCATTACTGGGGATCTCCCCCCTAATCTTAGATAGGTCGCATGAGGGTTTGCCGTGGTTCATTGTTGTACTTACACACTAAGCTACCTTTTTTCCGAAAGCTCTGCAGGACTACCTACCACTAGTCTTCATCTCATGGTGAATAAAAGATTCCAATTTTGAAGTCACAAAAAACAACAGTTAACCCAAAATGGTGTGCCATTATGAACTGGTAAATGCAAAATCCAAAAACTAAACAGCATTGAGATTCTAACGAAAGACTAGCAGGAGTCATTATTTGTTAAAAAACAACTGAGTCGCACCGTCAAATTTGAAATAACTGCAGCAAGTCAGTTTCATTAAGTTGCTTGAATGCTGCAAGCCTGGAAATGAATTGTAATAACAAACCTGGGCTTATATATCGATTGTGGAGAGCCCAGTCATTCCGCACAGATGCAAACTTTTTGAAAGGAGCACCTGATGTTTCACAAATGCAGAAATAGAAAATAGTTAGCATTGCACCGTGAGGTACTACAAAGTACACCCTTTGCCAATTCAATACATAACAGATCCACATAAAATGGAAGTATAATAAAATTTTACCCTCAAGTTCCACTATAGCCTTCTTAATCACAGGCTTGAACTTTCCTGCAAAAAGTCTTCCATAATTAGAACTAAATATGATTGGATGCATAATGAAAAAAACAAATGACAAACTAGATGGCTAAAACAACTATTACGCTGGTGAATTCACCATAAAACATGTCAAAAACTTTTCTTTTTCGTCAGAGACATTCTCGATGAATTAGTAAACTTTTGGACTTAGAAGTACAAAAGAAGAGTTTATCAATGTATATGTTTATTAAAGTCTCCTAAGGATGTACAATTCGATTCCAAAAAACCTTTTCTATTTTTGTAATAGGAAAACCAGGAAATGTGTATTTGTCAATGTCCATCCTTTACATCAAAAACACCTACTGCCCTTCAAGTTTTCAGGTAACCAGATGAGAAAAAAAAGATGTAAAGTAAGGCACTTGGGCATGACACCCTAAAATTCATATTCTGGGCACAGGATGGAGTAACGTGGGGCAGAATATCCTAGAAGATGTTCAAGTACCAAAAGAGAGACAACATAAAAGGTTCCCAAGGTATAATACTAGCATAGCATTAAGCAGTGACAAAGGAAAATAATACTGCACCGTGTCTCCTCTCAACATCCATTAAAGATGTTAATGCTGTTCCACCTACTGTCCATTCTTCAACAGGAGCACCCAAATTTCCCACCTGGATACAAACATTAGATGAACATTGCTATTGAAAAACAAATAAAATAAAAGAGACATATTGGCAGAAGAAAGACTAAAATGATTTCTTAAAGGAAAACCATGATTAAAATAATAAGCATTTAGAATCACAAACTGAGGAAATCAATCCAGTCTTCCCGGAATGGAGCAGTGCCCCAGCAGCATAACCCAATGCATAGCAGTAGTTTGAGTCAAAGTTCGAAGGCAAACCACATCTACCCTCATAACTGCAAAATTAAAATCATGTATGGGAAAAAAAATATTAATGCTGGAATACAAAACAAAAACAGATAAATAAAAAAGAGCTTTGGAAGTCCTGTTTCGCCTTGATCTATTATACGTTAGTGGTCTTGTTTTTACAACTTACTCTGATAATATAATTATTCACCTAGAAGACTGGGATGGTGCTTCTATAGTTCCTCTATACTAGACTTGTTTCTGTAGTGTGGATAACTTTTGCATTAGGTTATGCATTTGGTTTCTTTTGTTTTTGTACAGGGTTGATGCCTGTTGTACGTGGGTGTTTCCTTTTTCTATAAAAACTATTTTTACCCCAAACAAACAAAAATAAATTAATAAATAAACAATCAAATTTTGTTTAAACAGAAGGAATCATAAAACACAATCATCCGGACAAACAAGAATGTCAATTACCCGAAAAAGTGGGACTGGCCACTGAATTCTTTATTATATGTGCCTTCCTCCCTCCTCTTTCTCAATTCGGTTTCCACCATTTGAATGAGCATTTTTTCAGTTTCTATCTTAGCAACCTAAACAGATAGTATGTATTCAGTATCAAGGGGGAACAAGTAAAGAAATAGACCATCCATTCCCAATGGTTACATACCAAATGCATGAGAGTTAAGAGAAGAATACCTGCACATTACCATGTGGATCTCTTTCAAGCAGCAGTTGTTCCTGAATCGCTCGCGGTAGAAGTTCAAAAAGCTGATGAGATTGGCTTCTAAGTTTTTTTTTCCAGTGCCCATCTTCATCTACAACATCATGGGCTAAGATTTCATTAAGCTCAGCAATAAGCTGTTGCACCTGCAAAATCAGAAAACAGCGTCAATAATCCTAAATGACAGGTGACTATAGTTGTCTATATCACATTCTCCACATTTTAAAAAGCTCCACTACTGTTTCATCAGCATTAACAAAAGAACAAGTCGAGGAGCAGAAATTTGAAGGGGCTAGGGGGTATATAACTGTTGCAATAAAATAATACCTCTGGAATGAAATCAATCAGGCCTTCTGGTATAAGTATGACCCCATAATTATAACCAAGTTCTGCACGTTTGCAGATTATGTCTGTAATGTAATCTGTAACGTTCTTCAATGTCTGCTTCTGTGCTGCAACCTGCAACAAGATAATAACTTCTCAAAAACAAGATGGAAAACATTGGGAGCAGCTCATAAAGTTTATTTGAGCACCCTTTTTTAATGAATGGTGTAGCAATAGCAATACTACAAAAGCATTCAAAGAATTTTCTTAAAATACATGCAATGTGGGTGGAATAGCATACACTGCATCACCTACCTAATTGAATAACCTTTTCATCATTCACAAGATAGATGCAGTTCATAGAGCAATCAGACAAAGGAAGGAAAACCAACAATAAATATGATAACACGAATGATTAACCAACCACCAAGAACACCTAATACAAAGAGATTTCCTAATAAAATAAGGTCATAATAGGCATTCATATAGCACACATCCCAAATTAAGCAGCTACCAAACAGCTGCAGCAACGAACAAACTCGATCTTTAAAAGCATCAAAGAGAAAAACCAACTAAGAATTCAGCACAATAAAAATTCTCAAGAGAACAGGATACTAGGAGACGTACTAGATTTTATTTAGCCAACCGAATCCATCAAATAACATTAGAAACTTGGATTTTATGTGGAGGAAAGCAGTCTGTTCAATCTATCACCCAAAATTACAATGAAATTCATTTGCACAGTCTTCATCCTGTGAGAGCAATTTATAGGATTGGCAAAAGACATCCAACACCATTATTATCTCAATAGAAAAGCTAAAAATTGAATATCGTCCTTCACAAATTGATAGATTCCTCTCTTTTTTGATGTAGACACATATTGGTTCAGTCTAGCTATGCATGCAATGTGCCAACCATAGGTCTTAATAGATAACGTGACAGATGAAGAAGGTACCTCTTCTCCAATAATTGTGATATTAGGATGTGTCTGCAAAGCGCATTCCAATGTTATATGAGAAGCTGCACGACCCATAAGCCTTACAACTGCAGCAAATACCATAACTTAGAGGAGAAATTAAAACTTCATACAATGTAATTCGATGCACGCCCCAGCTGAGACCCTGCATAATTTATTCTTGAGCCTGTTAGAGTTCTATTTTTTTAGGGGAGTTATATTTTTCTAATCCAAATGTATATAGATTTATAATGACTTTGTGGCTGAGGATATTTTTGTAATTCCTTTGGAATGGGTTGCAGTAATGATACGTGGATCTTATTTTGAGTCTTGTTATGATTTGAGGTCACATTTGTGGGTCTAGTTGAGTTAGACTAGTCAGATTGTTTAGTCTATAAAGAGGAGTCGTGGTTAAGGAGTTGAATTCTCTTCAAGCAAACACATGTAACCTTTCATAATAAGTATAGATTAGTCTTAGATATAATAATGACGCACAAAAAATGAGCACAAAAGTATACCACAACAATACACATTATGACCAATACTTACAGTGATAGTATTTTCCAGTCGATCGAGCATCTGTCATAACATTTCCGATCATCTCTGCATATATCTGCATGTTAAGCAAAAGGTAAAAACAGTATCACTTTTTATCCAGTGGCATACTATTTAAGCCACACATCTATTGGTTATGAAACCAAGGGCCAAGCCTCAATTATAGTGGTTGTCTTGCAAAGAAGAAGAATACATGGGTGTTATCTCCAATACGCAAACAACTTTAGGCTTTGTCCTGTGACAATTTGTTGCTGGTGGTGAGAGCAGTTGGTGGTAAGAGATGAGTTGCTAACGCTTGTCAGCAATTACCTAAATGATTTGGTTTTGTGAATCCCTCTTTCCAGATCTACTCTTTCTCCTCCTCACCTATGTTTGATTTCCCCTAAGCTCCTTACTTCTTTAGGCAAAGAAAATAATTACCACCAATGTGTTGATGCACCTGTGGATTGTCTCACATCGGCTAGGTGGGAGTGAGAGATTTGCTCCTTCAATGAGTAGTTATTTGGATGATGTGATTTTGGGGGCCACCTCCGAGGCCCACTTTGCCTACCCTCTTTAACTAAGCTTGATTTTCCTTTATCTACTCACTTAACTAAAGCTCAAAGGAAAAAGGTTCTTGAAATTGCAGTCATAATGGTTGTCTTAAACAAAGAGGAAGGAGAAGATTGAAGAAATATTATGTTTTACATAGATTTTAGTCGAGAAGACAGCATCATATATAGAACCAAATAAGTTTTTCTAAACAAAAATTATGTTAATTTCCAGGCCCTATGCTGCCAGGGGAATGGTGGGAAAGGATCTTGTTTGATCAGAATGTTCGTGGTTTCGGCATAGAACAAGCCAAATTTAAAGCATATCATTTAATATTGGGAAAAAACTTCATAATAAAAATCAATCAAGCAAACCACAATATTAATGCATGGAAACACTAGCGAAAGGCGAAAAATAAAAATAAAAATAAAAAATAAAGCAAAAATAGTAACTACCTTGCATGCAGTATCAAATCCGAAGCTTGTAGGAACTTCTTTGCATTTCAAATCACCATCAATGGTCTTTGGACATCCGACAACCCGCGCTTTCACATTTTTACCCCTTCAGTAATTTAAAAAATGACCAAAATTTTCTCGAGAGGACCTTCAAATGATTTCTTAAAGAGTAACATGTCATATATACCTGAAATTTTCTGCAAGAAGGCAAGCATTAGTGTTTGAGTCATCACCACCGATGACAACAATCCCATCCAAATCAAGCTTCAGTGCTGTTTCTTCAGCTTGCTTAAACTGTAAGCCAATACCATGCAACCTCAGTTACTACACACAAGCTACAGGAACCAAGCATAAACTTTTTTTTCTTTCTTGTATCATGTAATCAGAATCAAAAGAAACTTTTTCCAAAATGATTTTCTTCACTTTCCTAACTATACCGAAAGTTATTGCAACTAAAACAAACCAATATAAAATTCAATGAGATCGAGTAAGATAGATATACAAAACTTGAGTTCAATCCCAATTTTTTAGTGTTATTCCCTATATTTTTGACCTCATTGATTATTTTCTTTAAATATAATTTGACCTCATTGCGGATAATATGGTAATGGTGTCAATTTTTTCCGTTTACAAAAATACAATACGAACAAAAATAAGACACAAAACGAACTTAAAAATGGTACAATCTATTAACAAAACCAATAACCTTAAGTTTGTATGGTAAGAAGATAACGAGTATTTTTTTCTTTCATATCTTGCTCAAGCATTGTTGTTTGAATTGTTTTACTCTAACACAACTTTTTATTAATACGGATCAAAATTACACAAGGACACCCTTAGGATATGCTACTTAATCCATTGAATAGATTTCTTCAAAAAGAATATGCCAATATCAAATAAAAGACAGACTATAAGTCCATAACATTTAAATAAAAATGTCCAAGAAGCAAGGAAGAATTCACCTGTTCTGGGGTTTCAATCTTATCCCTGCCACTACAGATCATATCAAAGCCACCCTGTTAACGCAATGTGCCCCCAAATGTCATGTATAAGTGCCTAAAAAACTTAATAAACACTACCAAATGAACTTTTATGCAATTTGATTTAGCAGCTGCATTGAAATTTGAAACTTTTGTTAGTAACAACAATCGAAAAAATTAACTCACCTGATTTCTATAAGGATAGATAAATTCCGTTGTTAACTCCACATATTTACAGTTCATGATCCCCGCCGGACCTCCCCTGAACCCATACAACGTGCTTCCCTTTGTTCGATCCTGCAAATAATCTACAAACAAAACAAAAATTCACTCACAAGCAATAGCAGAGCATTCCAAAAATCAATTTTAACACTCCAACAGAGAGAGAGAGAGAGAGAGAGAGAGAGAGAGAAGAGGGCCCCTCCTAACCGAAAATTCCAGAAATGACATTGTGACCACCAGGAGCCTGGCCTCCCGAAAGCACAACTCCGATCTTCAAACTTCGATCCGACGCCAAATTGGCTGAGTCTCCGGGAACCAGCATTGCCGAGGGCTGTCCGAACACATTCGGAAAAAGCTTTGCAATCTCGTCTGTAACATTTCCACATACAATTTTCAAACTTATATAGTCAACAGCCTAATACATTCATACTCATACAATTATCTACGTGTATAACTGCTAGATCGTAGAAGTTTTGTGCAGTAAAGACTAGAAAACCTGGATTTCCAGCGGCAGAACTCGGAGGTCCATCCACAACGTTGAAGGAGTTCTTGAGAACGGAAGGGAGAGGAAGGGCGACTTTGATACGGTTTGTTTGGACTTCACTGTACACAGAGGCTAGCCGGCCTGGTGTTGCACCAGAAGATGATTTCCCGGAGGTGGCGGAACCATTGGAGACGGCAGAGGAAGACATGTTTGATTATGCGAAGAGGTAGTGAATCTAAGAGAGAGAAGGGCAAGAGACGTGGAGTGGAACAGAGTAATGAGAGTATGAGGGAGAGGGAGAGGGAGAGGGAGTATGGATTATGGAATGGTATTCGTGGTGCTGTCAGCTGTGTGAGAGAAAGAGAAGCTTTAAAGACGGAGAGTTCGTTAAGCAAAGGGTGAAAACGTCTTTGTGGTTTCAGTCCGAATGGGAAGGAATCACACTGTTCGGTGCACTACTTGAAACGGTTCACATTGGTGAGGTATCATTCGTTAAGTCGTTGTATTAATAAGATCAGCAATTCTGAATATGAACTCATCAAACATTCTAACTTGTTTTTTATCTGACGGTTCTAATAAAACTACATTATTATAAGTATACGACAACCGTGAATCATAGAACAAACATCAACATTAATCAATGACGGGTCAAGCCAAGAGCCCAATTTATGTTATATGTTTAATTTAAATAAAAAATTTAACTAAACAATATCAAGTGGGTTTAATTCCAATAGAGTTTCACTCCCAATTAAACTCGTTAGGATTCGAGTGGTTACATCATCACAAAAGTAGGTAAGGTCATCCCAAGAACCTCATGCAAACTACATTAGACCAAATCATTTTAGAGTAAGCGTCATCTCATGAGACTCATCTTAATCACCTTGAAGTAAGAGTCATTTAAGAACTTTATCTAAATCGTCTTGGAATAAGGGTCATTCAAAAGTTTTATCCACGCCGTCTTGAAATAAGTCAATCACCCCATCATTCTTTGACTGGATCTTATGGGGAGCGTCGTAATTGTCTCATCCGTTGAGAAAATGACGTCAGCTCCACCAAATTAATTTTTTAGTTACTAACCAATCGCCTCAATCTGTTAGGAGGCGACTATAAATTGTAAACCCCGCCAATATTTGAGAGGCATCACACACAATCGAGCACATGTACTATCACTCTTCTTTGTCTCTCGTAGCTTGTATCTCCCTATTTTCTCTACACTCATCAAAATAATAAAATATCCAAGCAACTTTAGCCCTTCATAGTGGACGTATGTCAAATTGATTGAACTACTCTACATCTTTGTCTTATTTGTGTTGTTTTCTTATTTTTTAATTATTACATTAATTACTAATCACTTGACAAGTAGTGCATAATACTAATTTGTGCATCATCAACTAAAAGTGTAGATTTTAGATACAGTGATCCATGATTTTAATATATAATATTTGGTATGAAAAATAATTCATGTCACATGTGTGCATTAATTAGTGTGTTAAAAGGTGAATTTTGAGAAAATAGTTCACTATACCATCTAAACTCTTGTGTTAGTCGAAGATTTGAGATTCAGGATTTATAGGGAAAATGAAGAGCAACCTGCTCCCAGACCATAGTAAATAGTTGATTAAAACTAACAAATGGAAGTTTTATGAAACTCATGGGAAGGGTGGGAAAGTGAAATATTGGATTTGAAGGCAGAAAAATTATTTTACAATAATAGACATTTTAGTAAATTCAGTAATATAATTGGATGGGATTATTCCAAGTTTTCAACCTTTTAAATCTCATTTTCTACTCCATTTAATCATATTATTTTAAATTACTAAATTTACTCCACCTATTCCCACTAACTCAGTTTATATTTATTAATTAAAAATTAAATTCATTCAATTTTATTTCAAGTTACTATATAGGTAATGATTATAATTTTATTTTGATGTATTATTTAATACGAAAAAATTTTAGAAGTAGAACAAAAAATTAATAATTATTTTTAAAAATATTAGTAAAATTATTCTAAAATATCTTAAAATACCTCAAAATATTCTAAAAATATTGGTAAAATTATATTAAAATATCTTAAAACATTTCGAAATAATATAGATCACCTCGGAATATTGAAATTTTGTTTTAATTACTATTTTTGTTTCGATTTGTTTAACATATATTTAATAATATAATTTAATGAATATAAATGGGATAAATTTAATAACTAATGGAATGCATATATATAACATTAATTTAATAATTTGGGGTGAAAAATAGGGTGGAAAAAGAAATTTGAACCCATGTACAAATATTTGGGGCTGAATCCAATTCAGATTCCGAACCCCGAACCCCCCCCCCCCCCCCCACAACAAAAAGAATAACTATCCAAACGGGACCTAAAATCCCAAACGCTTCCCCCTGTTCGAGTCTCAGGACTCTCGCCTCTTTCTGCTTCTCTCAGTAGATCGATCCCTAGCGCTTCCTTCTCTTCGAGTCTCAGAGACTCTCGCCGCCTCCTCTTCGAAGCCACGAGCATCCCAGTTTCTCTCTCTCTCTCTCTCTGTGAGTCTTAATTCCTTTTGTTTTTCTGAAATTAAAATCATAAGATGAGAGTTTCAGCAGTTTTTTTGTTAAGTTAAATTATATTGAGATTTAATCTTTGATCTGTATCTTTTTAGTGAACCCTAAAATTAGGGCCCTTTTTAATTTGTAGGGCTTAAGCCCATGCTTTTTTGACTCTACTGTTGAGCCGGCCATGGTTTTGACGGTACTAAGCTTGGTAGAACAACATGTCTTGCATTGTCCTTCGCTGTTAAGGTTTTGTTTCTTTTAACATCCAAACTATTTCACGAGTATATGAGATTTTAGCTCATTCTTCCTTTTAAGTTATTCATTTATTTTTCTCAAACAATTTGTATGCTTTTCTGTATGATTTAGTGTATTGACTTTTAAATTTTTATAGCTTGGTGTGCCATTTGAAGTGGTGGGTTGAGAAGGGATACATATCCTGTTTTTTTTTTTTTTTACCATGAAATTTGCTGATTCTTGATCACACACACACACACATATATATAGATGATTACTTGCTTATACTTACTATTGACATTTGATGATTTTCAAGCATTGTCCTTGTTAACATATTGATTAACTAGTAATAACCCGTGTTGAAGACACTATATAATATCAAAAATTGAATTGGTCTTGTAATATTTGTATTTTAAATAATAATTTGGTTTTTTTAATTATACAATTTAAAATTAAAATAAAGAGAAAGGTAGGTGTGGATTGATGAGATTATTTGATATTAGAGAGTGTGTTAATTGATTTGTGATGGTCATGCAGAAGTTGATATTTTTAGGTGAAAAAAAAATTTGAGATAAATTTTATATCTTTGGATCGAAGTTATGAAGATTGAATTAATCTTTACCGTTCTTGTGTCTTTATAAGTGGAGAATTCAACTTGCTAGATGTAATATTAAACAGATTTGCATATGTACTCGATTTATATGGATTTGGTTTCCCTTTCTTAGACTACTGTTTCTGCTAAATGGTAATTTTGTTGCAACTTTTGTAACTCTTAAGCATTTGGGAAGGGTTATTGCTTAACCATTTTACTGCAAATTGTAGGTGCAAAAGAAAGAAACAATATGAATGCTTTCAAGGCTTACAAAGCATGTGTCCCAGTTGCATGGAGCCACAACTTATACATAACTTTGGTTAGGGGCATTCCGGGGACCAGGAGGCTTCACAGGCGTACCTTGGAGGCATTGCGTCTAACCAAGTGTAATCGAACAGTTATGCGATGGAACACTCCTACTGTCAGAGGGATGCTTCAACAGGTTCTACAATAGGCTTGCAGTCCCTTGCATTAGATTATTTCACATAGTTTACTAAAGATATTTTCAAAATTTCACAGGTGAAGAGATTGGTTGTGATCGAGACAGAAGAGATGTATAAAGCCCGTAAACAAAAGGAAGCAAGCCACCGAGCTCTACGTCCTCCATTGGTTGTGAACCATCTCCCTGCCCCTGCAAGTGATTCTTCTCAACAACCTGTTTAATTTTTGTGAGGTTACCTTCTCACATACTGGTATGGAGTTCTATTCAAATATAATGTTTACCTTATTTTTTATTTCTGAGAGTATTTCCAGTACATTGAACTGTAACCAGTCAATCTTCTCTTGTTTAAGCATTGTATCAATGAAAACACTATCAGCTCTTTGCTGTGGAAAGTCAATGCATGTGCTGTATCTGGCCAGTCTGAACGTTTTTCCTGAAGACGATAGTGAATTTAAACTAAGTTCACGATTATTACTATAAAAATAGATAGAGAAGCAGAATATTACGATTAGTATTATGAACAAGGTGAGAATACATATTGGACCAGAACACAGAACCTCCCCTCCAAATTACTAACTTATAACACAATTTTCTGTATTTTAGTCTATAACTAAGCTAGTAAGAAGCAATTAAGGGTGAATTTTGATTTGGTGTACTCTTTTGGTGATCCAAGTGAGCTTCGCAAAAATTCTGATAAGTGGTGATGTACATATGTACAGGTCTCTGTCTGCATGTAATTCCCCCTTTGATCACTGAAATTATCATGACAATCAGGCCCCTCCAACCAGGCCCCAACTAGAAGATTAGGATTCGATTGTAGGCCGCTGTACCAATTATCATATCCTTGGGTGCACCTGTGAAGCCTTTGTATGGACACCATTGAAGCCCCTCTGTGATGCACCCTTGTGGGGTACTTAGGACCATAACCCACTAGATTGCTCAGGTTCGTTGTGTTAGAGCGTAGAATATAACCCGCTTATGAATTTGGCAAAGGCGTGGATTTCGTAAGGGACTACAATTCCTACATGGCAGCTGAGCTCTTCTGCTTTGGATCATGTAGGAAGTCGAGTTCAAAGTCCGATTACACTCGGTATAATTTTCACACTAATCAACTTGATGTGTAATTCAAATGTAATAGAACATTTTATTAAATTGTAATGCATATAGTAGTCTGTGTGAAGTATTCATATATTTCATTTATCATCAGATACGTATGTATTCTCAAGTATGCGGCGAGTATTGTATGACCGTAACAGATCATCTGGACTTCATAGCTGTTGTTGAAACATATTGTATGTTGTTCCATTGGCGGACCTTATACTAGGCTCAGGAAAGAGAGTCCCGTACTAGAGTAAATATCGGGGGTAAGGGTCTTACCCTTTTTTATACCCAAATTTAAAAATAGTCTAAATACTTTTCTAACACTAGACTCATATTCATATCAAATGAAGAATTACATAAATTGAAGCCTTTATGATGAAAACTAAAATCAAGATCATACAACACAACTTACTCTTGCATCTCACTAGTATTGTTTAGTGACGATGCCTATCAAAAAAACATTAAAAGCAACTGAATGATTTAACCCAAGTATGAAAATATAATTCTCATGACCAATTTATAATATGTGAAAAAATTGCCCAAAATGCAATTATAGTTGTGGAACATAACTTGAGACAATTTGAGATAACGTTATTCGTTAGATGAAATTTTATTTTATCATGAAACGATTTCAATCACTTTTTGCCTTTGAATTCAAAATTTGTTATATTTTATTATATAGATAATAATGCATAATGACTTTTATCTTATGCTCAAGAAATTTAAGATATCTAATAATTGAAGTAAAAATATGTCAAAGTTTAAATTTTAAATGAGAAAGAATAGGACGCAAAGGACCATGATACCCTAACCATGATTTGATAACGTGGATAAAGTTAACCACATTTTCTGTTTTGCATAACAAAATCATTTGTTTTTTTTTCCACTTGCAATTTGAGGACTATGAGAAGATGTGCTTGCGACTTCGAGATTAAGCCCAACTATTTAGTCCAATGAGACAAGTTCAAGGTCCAAAGAGATAATAATCGGATGCTTTTCTGTCCAAAAAGATATAATTTTCATTTGTGAGGTAATAAATTCAATCCCAAAATGCAATAGAGACAAAAAAAAAAAAAAATAAGGACCAACCTCACCATGTATGAAGTTAGGTCTGACAATCGTGTTGGATGGAATGGTTTTGTATTGGGTAGAATAAATTTATATAAAAAAACTCTTAATTTACATCTCATTCGTTTATATAAAAAAATTCAACTATCACACATGTAGACAATTGGTTTATTAGAATTGTTACTCTACATAACTTGTGTATCACCCTCCTAAATAAGAAAATTGATTAGAATATTTCGACTCCATATAAAAAAAATATCAACTCGTCACAAGTTATACATGGTTAACCTATTTATTATAATAATAAGTTATGACTGAACAAAAATATACATTAAATCACTATCAAATTCGAATGAGTTTGAGAGATTAGGTAGAAGTTGAGGAATCAATTTTTTTTTTTTAAAAAAAAAATTTATAGTGCTGCTGTTAACAAGTTAAAATAAATTTATGAGTTAAACACGAAATCGATTCATTTATTTCACGGATTTATTGAGTTAATCCATTAACCACCTAAACTCATTAAGACTATTCTCAAATTCGGGTTCATGAGTCGGGTCAAATTATCAAAAGCATCTATATTTAAGACAAAATAATATTATTTGTATCTAATTTGAAAAATCAACTTTGCTATTTTACCCAACTCAACTTTGCTCATCACTCCACTTCTCTTCTATTCATCCAGCAGAACTTGACACTGTTTATACAGCTAGGATAATAGTTTAACTTAAGCTCAACTCGACTCAAACCACTCAACTCAGCACTGGAGTTAAAGCATAGACAGCTAGGCTAATGGCCAAACTGCTTTGACCAGTGTTTTCGCTTGAGCACAACCAATGCACCAGTTTGTTGGATTTTTGGGTAAACCAATCGAGGCAAACCGGTACAACATTGGTCACTGATGAAAAGATCTCTATAAAGAGACAATTAGTTGACTAAACAGACAAGTTTAATTTAATTTTTGTTATTCAATTTTTTCTTAAGTATTTTTTTTTTTTTTTGAACATGACATTTATAATAAGTTCAGTGACAACATTTTAAGATGAAAAATATTATCTTTAAAATAAAAATTTAATAAAAAAAATTTGAAAAGCATAATATTACTTTTATACTCCGTTTAATATGATAGAAAAATAGAAGGATGAAAAATTAAAAAAATAAAAAGTTTGAAGAATAAATAAAACATCATGTTGAGGAAAGAAAATAGAAATGATGAAAAAATGGATGAATTAACTTTCCTTCTAACTCACTAAAATAAATCCCTCCAAAATCGAAAGAAAAATAGATATAAAGTTAATTATTTGTATTGAAATATATCTTATTTGTCTATATATCTTTTAATATATATATATATATATATATATTAAAATTTTAAAAGTAAAATATAAAATATTAGTGTTAAATTTTTTATTCAAAATTTATGTGGATCAACACGAATACGAACAGCACACGAAAATAAACAAGTCAACTTGTAACTCGACACAACACAATTAGTTAAATGAGTTGAATAAAATTTGATTAATGTTCAACACAAATCTGACACAATTTAATTGTCACTCATAATTTTAACCAACACAAAAAAAAAAAAAATTATTTTTATTTTTCATCAATCTAACCAAACCCAAAAATATATATATATATATCATTTTTATTTTCTTTTATTGAAGAATAAAAAATATATTTCTCGTCTTTTTCATCCTTCACAGCAAATATAGTTCTCCATTTCTTGCCAATCGTCCTCAATATGTCCGTTTTTTCCACCCACATAGGAAACAGCCTATAAATTTCAAATGAACAAAAACTGCTGGTATGCAAGTGACACATCATTTTACAGTTTTGTTTTACCTCAATTTTATTTTTAAATGCAACTCCTAAAAATATTCTATAGGATTTGACACTGTACTTACAACTCTCCACCAATTAGCTAGTTGAATTACTTTCAAGACACTTCATTAGAAGTTTGATTCAACAACATGGGTATTTTCAGCACCATGGTCAGAGTTATTCGGGTTTTCATTACTAGGTTTAGAGGAGCTTCTTCTTCTACAGAGTAGGATCGGTCGGAATGGGAAACACCGGATGCTCGACCCAATTAGGGGCATCATCAAAGCTTACCCTCGGTTTTAAAGAAAATAAAAATAAAGATTGAATTAAACTCAATAGCATCTAACCTTCAATATTTAATCAAAGCTTACCCTCAAATTAAATGAAACTTTTTAATTTTAATTAATTTAAATAAAAAATTTATTGGAGTTTGATTTTGTTTGTCACTGATTCTTTAATATTTTATCCTACGATTTTCAAGTGAAGCCTCAGACAGTCGATTTGACATCAAAGTAATATTCAGTCGGTAATTCCAACTTTTAAATCAATATTCATCATTGGCCTTCACTTTCAACAATAAATTACAAAATTAAAAAAAAAATTATTTATTAATTATTTATACAAAAATATGTAATCGCAGAAAACGGCTCCGTGGAAGAACGGAATTGAATCAGTCCACAGATTCCTATCAACTTGCGAAACACAACTAAGCCTTTGTTTTGGTCCGATCATAGCATCGCCGGTCAATGCCCTTTGGCTACCGGCGACGTGGCATCGAACCTTCAACCCACACAACATCTCCAAAACTCTCTCTCTCTCTCTCTCTCTCTCTCTCTATATATATATATATATATATATATACACACACACACACACATATACCTACATATATATACGATCCTATCGTAGCATCGCCGGTCAATGCTCATCGATTACCGGCGATGTAGTATCGAACCTTCAAGACACCAAAAGGTCAAGAAAACACACAGTATCTCTCTCTAGATATATATAGAAATAAAAGAAATGCATAATGATCCTCAGAGACCCGTTTAAAATCACGCACACAGCGGTGACGGCGGAACCGCGTAGTCCTGGCCAATGAACAAAGCTACGAGAGACTTTGACGTTGGGGGATGGGAAAAAGCGGCCGCCGTGCGCCGCTGCGGTTTGGAGTGTCATACGGCACTTCCTATCAATGGGAATTCTTCCTCATAGGAAATTCACGAGAACAAATACAACAAAAATATAATTAATTTCATGGCAAAAAATCATAAAATCAAGACCAAACTTAATAGTAATAGCCGACCTGATCTGATTTTTTCTCTCTCTTCAAAATTTCAACAACCCTCAGATCTGAATGACCCGTTTGAGAGTGTACACAGGAAGATGTGGATGAACACGAGTATATATAGAGAAGAATCGTAACCCTAATTTATGAACGCGGTCTTCATGTTAAGCGGCCAGTTGTTGGCGGACTGGGCTTGAAGTTGGGTTGAATTCCAACCCAATTAATGATCTGTTGGTTTTAAATGTGGCCCACGTAAACTTCGGTAAGCCCATATGTAATTAGGCTCAGCATCGTTGAATGAATGCCTACGAGAGTTTTGCGTATGAATTAAAGCTTTTATCTATTCTTGTTTACGCATGAAGTTGATTCTCACCAATTAAGAATAGGGTTAATTGTTTTTTACCATCATGTGGTTTCAGTTAATAGCACTTTATCTACTTAACATTTAAAATTATACACATTAATCCGTTATAGTTATGTACCAAAGAGGAATGAGCAATGACATTGTGATGCATTTGAATTTTTTTTTTTTGGGGCACTGGGGATAGAGTAACATAATTAAACAAAATTTAACGCCCTCTAGAGTGTATTAGACATCATATATTTCAAGACATGTATAAATTGCATCTGCCAAGTGCTCTTTGAATTGAATCCGGTGTTTTTTCATAGGTTTTTTACTCTTTTATTTATTTACTAGTTATTGTATGTGTCTGAAGGCACAGAATAATAAAAAAATGATAAACAATAAACATATTTGTATTCATATTCAAAATCAAATTACAAATATAAAGAAAAGATAAAGAAATTTAAGCATCGGTTTGTAGTGGGTGTTAGAGGTGGTGGGCGATAGTGATAGTGGTAGAAGACGGTGATGGTTATAGTGCGTGATAATAACCGTGGTGGTGGCAATGATGGTGGTGGTCGTGGCAACAACGACAATAATGGTGATGGTGATGACAGTGGTGGGCGTGGCGATGGTGGCAACGGTGGGGGTGGTGGCGACGACGATGGTGGTGGAAGGGGTAGTGGGGGTGGGGGTGGGGGTGGTGGTGGCGGCGACGACAATGACAATGATGGTCGCGGTGGCGGCAATGCCAGTGATGGTGGTGACAATGGTAGTGGCAGTAGAGCGGATTTAAACATTATTTTTTAAAAAAATATTTATGAGAAATAATTTTTAAAAGTAATTTTAAAAAGTCAATCCAAACACATGTTTAAAAACCTATTTTTCCTATTAAATTTAGGGTGTTAATATTAGTCGTTAGATTACTTTTAAAGTAAAATTTAAAACAATTTTAACCGCGAAAAATAAAAATCATTTTGTTTATTTTTTGAGATTTAAATTATAAACTACTTTATTATATTAATTTTTTTTTCTCATAAGTTTTCCCCAAATGTTGGGATATAAATATTTTATGTCAGAAATTTGAGTGTAGCAATGTCAACTCCACTCGCTTCCCCCTCCACAATAACATGTATAATCTATTCAAATTTGGTTATATAGGAAAAGTGAAACAAACCCAAATCATTTCAGTTCTGCTTGCTCTTGCTGTTCCTTTTGTCACGGTCTCGATCGCACTTCACAAATCTAAACTATTAGAAAAAGCACTGCTCAAGATCTTACAAGTCCATATGATGCCCCTACCTCACTGAGGTGGGATTCATGAAATTCTCCTCCAGCCGAAGATGCCAAACCCACATCGCATTCAGCTCCACCCCTAGAGTGAGTGGGCCCACCTGGCCCGAGCCTATCTTGGCCCCGATATCTCCAACGAGGGATCCACATAACTGATAAAATTGTTACTCACCGAGTCCCACTTTGATGCCACTTGTCACAACCTCACAATTCAAAAACTTAAATTTTTAGGAGGAGAACCGCTCAAGATCTTATAAGACCTATTATGTCATCCCCACCTAGCCAATGGGAAATTCATGACACTATGCTACCATATAATCGAAGATCCCTGCAATGCAAAGATAAGCATTTTGATGGTCTCCAGACTCAGGTATCTATTCCCACTTGGATGGTGGAGGGAAGTAGCATATAATGGGAAAATTCAAAACCCCACCAACTTGGCTGTCAGTTCAAAGGCAAGTAAGTACCCAAAGATGCAAGAACGATGGCTTCGTACCATCCCAAGTCAGTTGTAGTTCAGAGTACCAATGTGGCTTATCCTCATCCTTGGACGATAAATGACTGGCTTCAACATTGCGTAACGTAGCAAATTATGGAATCAGATCGATGTACTTTTTGTGTCACTTCTTCTCTTGTGTGTGCGCAACACGAAAAGCTCTTACATTCGGGTTTTACAGTTGCCATCACAAAATTACAGTTCATACTGGAAGTATCTTCAGAACGAGACAAAGACACGAGCACAAAGCATAAGAGTGAATTTTCAAATAACCATCTTAATCTGACTCATAGTAAAAACTTGACTCAAGTGATGAACGCTAGCTACCCTGTTGTCCTCAAGTGTTGGTGGTGGTCCTTTCCAGAGAAAAAAGGGATAATACCCCCCCGGGGGGGATGAGAGACTATTCACTATCTAACGCGAAAAAAGCCAATATTACACAACCAGTCGAGGTTTGCAAACCCAAAAAAAAAACCAAGACATAATGCCCATTTCAACTCAAATAACCCTTGAATATGTCCAAGGTGGGTAGGTGACCATGCTAACTTTAATTCTAGGATTTCACAAATTTTTTGATTATTTATTGCTGTTCATGCGTGCTGGTTCTCATTGTGAAACCATATGTTGACATCCAATGGTAATAAAAATCAACCAATATAAACATGCAATTCTCATTGTAATTTAAGAAAGCAGTTGCCCCAAGGCTCAGAAGAGTTGGAGTTCACAAAACATGATAAGCAAGTGTTTGCTACTACGATAAAAACTTAATCTAGCATAGCTTAACATCTCATTCAAGTCCACAAATTTCAGGTACTTAATTCTAAATGTGTGCAGAAACAACCTGAGCATTACTCAAACAGTCGAGCCACCAGTTTGGTGCAGCATGGCATCAATCTCATCGCCATCCTCCATCTCTAGCTGAAGAACAAAACAGAAACGAAGTTGTGACAGGCATGTAAACAGGGTAGAGCCAAAATGTTGTTAGAGTGGTCAAACTATGAAACCGAAGGTTAGTTTTATTAAAAGAATGTGAATTCAAAACACGACCAATTTGTGAACAATGCAAAAAATGCCAACAAAAAAGGATCACATAACAAATCTCTTATAGTCCCGTAATATTGTAAAGTTATTTGCAGTTTGTATCCCTCGGGCAGCTAGAGTATTTGTAATTTTTTAATAGACTTATAGTGTGTCAAGCTACTCTTCTATAAGTTGGGTCCTGTGTGACGTTATCGAAGTGTGTACCTGCTTGGGTGTGTCTAGAGCTATATTGTAAAATCCTTATTTCGGAATAAATTTATTTTACTTCTCGAAGAAATACTGTTCACTATCAAGTTATCTATGAAACCCAACAAAAAACCTTTATACCAGAATAAAGATGGGTTAAGCTCAATAATTAATTGTTGATCGATTCTTTAACACATAATTTACAAGGATCATAAATGAACAAAATATACAGAACAACCTCAATACAAACAATTTAGAAAAATCCGATATATCACATGTCTATTTGAACGAAACTTAGATAGAAGAACAATTTGATATATCACAAGCAAGTTGTTCAAGTCCAACTAATCAAAACAATTTAATCAAAAATGTAACCCATAATTGAAAATTTCCAAATTTAGGATTTTAACCATATGTTTAAATTTATCAAAGAATCCCAACAACTTTTAAAAAGATAAAATTATCTCTAAATTTTTACAAACTTTTTAGTGGGAGCCAGTTCTAAAAGATCTTAAATCTTACAAAATATCAAGTTGACCCCAATAATTTTCAAATTGCCGGTGCTCCCACTGTGGCTCCGCCACGAAAGTATAAGCGTGTCTGTGCACACGTATGCACATTCATTTAGCACACCCACCCACCCACAGAGAGAGAGAGAGAGAGAATACCTCATCCGGAGTCTGCTCTGCACGAAGACGGCGTCCATCAAATAAGAAGGCAATGGAGTTAAGATCCACAGATTGTCGATCACAGTATGCATTCATAAGCTTCTTCATTTGAGTGCTTCTTTTGATCCTAAAGAAAACTTCATTTCCATCCTATATCCAAATACAACACAGTAAATTAAATAATTCAAACAAGCAAACAATAATCATAGGGTCCGTAACCCTTGGAAAATTATTAAACCATCCAATGGGATAACTAAACTTTTCCAGGAAGCCAATTGCTTCACCAAAGCAGTTAAAAAAATTCACAACATTTTGATATTGAATGTAGTGTATGAACAAGCTCATGATTATCGATAGCAAAAGTTGGGGCTAGCAAATGAAATAACAAAAAACTACATTAATTAAGGTAAAAAGTTTGCATATTATATTTTATCTTTCAATCATAAGAGACACTTTCAAGAAAGTGTCAAAGCCATATCAAACATCAACACTTATTGAACAGTCTAGACATGTATCTAACAACACTCCAACTGTGTTTACCTGAAAAAAAAAACTTAAGTTACGTTTGGTAACCGTTTTGTTTTTGTTTTCAATTTTTACCCCCCCCCCCCGGCCCCCCCAAAAAAAAATACACTGCATTTGGAAAATGGAAACACACGTGTGCCTAAGGGGAGTTTAATGAGGTCCAGCCTTCGAACCCCATTAGCAACAAAAAAGCCTCAATTTTTTGGAACTATAAAAAACCACTCTGTGAAACCCTAACCCTCGACCTCGCCGTCACTTCTCTGCTCCTCTATCCTTTTCTATTTTTGATCTCTATGAGTGCTGTGAAGATCAATGCAAACAGAGTCTCTTTCTCTTGAATTCAAGCACTCCATATTCATGGTGTATCTAATTTTGTATATTTTCTATATATACATTTCTTCCACTGTGTTTCTATATTTTCTTACATCCATTACAGTGTATACCATACACCTACTGACCTATATATAGGTGTATATTTTTTGTATGTATAGGGCCAGATCTGTTTGTATATAGACTGGTCATCTAAATTTTAATGATTTCATTGTGTGCGTGCCTATATATAACTTGAATCTGAAACTTTGTTTGTGTATGGATATAGCTTTAATCTGTTTTAAATGTGTGTGTTTAGACCTTAAACCTAGGATGTTGTACCTTTTTAGAAGCAACATGGAAGAAAACAATTGATGATATGGTGTATATGTCTAAGAAGGCAGTAAACAATTGATGGCAGCATTCAAATGGGCACGCTGATGATCAATGGGCGTTGAGTAAATCTTGAAACTTCTTTAGGGTTTAGTTTCTTCTTTTTCTTTTAGCAGAAAAGTAATATATCATAACTCATTATGAAATAAATTAAAGTGGTCACCAAACAAGTTGTGTTTTAGTTTTCCTAAATTTTCAAACAAAAACAACCACCAAAGAAGTTTTTTGTTTAATTTTTTACCACAAAAAAACAAAAACTATTTCTATTTTTTTTTTTTTGAAAACTAAAAACATAAAAAGTTACCAACACACACCCTTAATTTTATTGACATTTTTTGCCATGTACACAATACTCCTATACCTCATGTTTGTAATGAAACGATAAATTTTTTATGTCTAATGCACGCTAACACCTCTTGTACACACGCTCTATTTGTTTAGCAAGTAAGTCGGGAAAGTGCAAGAAAAGGAAAAAAAACACAACTTTTCATAAGTTTGATTAGATAGAAATATGGTTTCTCAAGAAAGTTTTTTTTTTCCGTGACAACCAAATTTTCTTGCAAGCAGCTGCTTTCATTTCCGGCAAATTATGCAAGAAATTTTTTTTGTTCACATGAGAAGAAATTAAATATTTTGATCACAACAAAATAAAAAAGAATTAGATATTTTGGTTACAAATGTTAGCCTTTTTTTAAATCAATTGACTAGAGTTGTAAATGGGTCTTATTAGTGTTATTTTTATTATTCATGTTATGTGTAAGTAGCATAGTTGTTAAATCATGTATTGGAAGGTGTATCGTTTTTTAAAAATAGTGTATCGTATCATATCGTGTACGTGTATCATAAGATACGACGCAATTTTAAATAATTAATAATAAAATATATATGTTTTTGAAAAAAAATCAAACACTTATAAAAACATAACATTTCATTAATATTCCACCTATTATTCAAGTCACCAATATAATTTACTAATATTAAAAAAATAATAAAAGGTATCAAATTAAATTAATGGTCCTTATATATACTTAAAAGTAAAAAGTTATAATGTAATGGGGTATTAAATGTAATTTTGTATACTTATAACAAAAAAAAAAACCGTGAGTCTTGTGACCCACGAACGCACACACAAAAGCTGAGAGAAGAGAGAAGAGGCGAGAGGCGACCTCAAAGGCGAGAGGCGATGCCGGTGTCGGAGAAAGAGAGAGGAAAAGAAGAAGAACATACCTGGTGGCTGGTACCTCGTGATCGCAGCTCACAGAGATGAAGAGAGAGATTTTGAGACAGAGAGAGAGATCGTGAGAGAGAAAGAGATCATGAGACTAATAGGTTAGTGTTAAAAATCAATCTAGGATTTTATTCGGTTAGTGTTGCTATTTTTTCTAATTTCAAAAATTTGTTTAGTTTGCTTTTGCTTGGGTGTTTTTACTGATTTGTGGGTTTGGTAATTATTGTCTTTATCTCTTGCCTTTTCTTTGACATTTTCTCTATTCTCTGAGGCTGTCAACGATTTGGTGCAAAAAAATAAAACAAAGACTTCGCGTATCATTTGTATCGATCAATACATATCGTATCGTAAAAACCTATCGTGTATCAGATATTATGCAAACACGATACAAAACTCCGATTTGTATCATTTTACCTATATATCGTGACGTATCTTATGATACGTATCACGTATCGTACGATACTAATAATTATGGTAAATAATATTGTGTTGAAATTTGTCCAACCTACACCTAACCAGAACGTGTTTAAAACGTATTTAATTGATTTGTATCACATATAAATTGTGTTTAGTGAACTTATATCGTGTTTAGTTAAATTTGTATCGAATTCAAGAGTCGTGTTTAAAAATATCATTCAAAATTGCATCAGATATTTTGCCTACAGATGTTGCTTTTTTTTTTAATCAATTGAACTAGAGTTGTACATAGGTCTTATTTGTGTTATGTTTAAGTAGTGTTGTGTTGAAATTTGTCCAACTTACACCTGATCATATTGTGTTTAAAGCGTATTTAATAGATTTGTATAGCATATATATTATGTTTAGTGAACTCATATATATATATATAGCTATCTTTGGTTTGCTTTGCACTAAATGTTGATAACAACTATTGTGTTGATCATTGGGTTAGTAACTTACATTACTGACTTTTTATCCGTTGTGTCTAGATTGTAATTTCTAATCATTGTTTATGTCTTAGATTGATATGATAAGGATAAATTAGTACTTACATCAATTTTTCTACCAAACTTTTTATTATAATCAAATGCATACAAGAAAATAAATTTTCCTTTCCATTTCCTTTCTTTCACTTCACTTTCTACCATTTTTACTTTCTATCTTCAATTTCTTTCTAACCAAACAGAGCTTTGCCAATGAGTGATTAAGAAAGCTTAGAATTTGAGGTACAAAAACTTATAGTATGTTAAAAATATAATTGCCAAGACTAATTTTTAAAGGTCTATACATGACAATCAGTTTACAAAAGTAAAATATTAAATGTTTTCACAAAGGATCCAGGAAGGATGGTTTCTATGTGCACCATAGGTAACTAATGATTAGGACTAATTAACTAGGGGTAACTACATAGGACATCCTTTTATTTTGAGGTGGTTACACATCCTTCATTGTGACTTGTGACACTAAAACTTTGCATGTATCGTACGTGGCACTAAGATTCTGTTTGAGTAAACACATAAGTTTGTAAGTGATATTTTGACAGCTCAAATGATATTTCTACCCTCGATATATTTTTTTTTTCCTACTCCGTCCTTCAAATTTTCATTAAATGACTCCACCACCTCCAACCTGTGGACTCATCACCAACAGACACTCATATGTAAATCAAGTCCCTACATAACTCAAATCCACCCATACAATCTCTCTTTATGCCAAAAGTGTGGGTATCCACTTTTACATAACAGATATACAATTTTCTTTTTATAAAACAACTTTTTCCATACATTTGTAGCGATAAGCAACATATTTTCATACATAAAACACAGATTTATCTGAAGCATTTCCTCGTCATGTCCGTGCCCTTTTATTTTAAGATTTTCTCTAACAACATATCCTTGAAGTGGTGTTTTTGTATCCATACTTCATAAGTTTAAACTAAATACAGATCGGCTAAATCCAACTTGAAGGGAACAAAATGGGATGTGCCTCTATAGTTATGTCGAGAAACACCCTATACATGACTATCAATCAAAGATTCACTAAAAGGCATTACATGTTATAAATAACATACGGGTAGTACATGCGAACTGCTGCATCCATTCTTAAAAACAAATCGCAACACACGCAAGTCTCAAAGAGTAGCATTATTAGCTGCTCATAAAACAGAATAACAATGCAACAACCAAAGCACTCTCGTCAAACCCTAGTAAGCACTATCACAAAGTACTTGAGCCTAAAAGCTAAAGCCCCCAATTTTTTTTTAGGAATCTCAAATGAAAAGACCAAAACTAGAATTACAGACAAATCATAAGTAACCAGGGCTAGTGACCCCTCAGCAATAATCACAAATACCAAACCCTAAACATCATAATGATTGGAAAAGTAAACAAGTTGCAAGCATTTCAAAGCCAACACTTATGACACAATAACATTTATGTAGCCAATCTTCAATTGCAAAAAATTACTCCATGATAAGCATAAGCCCCAACAGATATATCCAGAACAGTTGACTCAAAACCCCAAAAATTCTACTAATTAGCAATTCTTCGTCCACAACCACTAATCAGATGTAAAAGAACCCTAATCAAATGTAAAATAACCCATAGTAAAAGATAAACCTAAAAAAGAACGTTAACGATTCGTAAACAAAACCTAAGCCAACACTAAACCCCAAAGTGTCTGTGTGCACATGAACATAGGTAGACAGGTAGAAAAAGAGCGAGGAAGAGAAAGGAAACGAAAGACCTGGCCCTTGACTTTGAGGTTGATGTGAGCAGATTGATCGCCTGCAGGCTTCTTATCTTCGTCCGCCGGTGGCTGGTTCGTGACGCCTGACATTGTCTTCGCTCTCTCTCTTTCTCTCTCTTGACTGACTTTTACAAGGCTGCAAAACCACGCAATTCGAGTTGTTTCGTTCTCTTCTTCTACTCCATTTTATTTTGGGTAAATATCATATTTGATGCCTTAACTTTTATCTCAATTTTAATTTGATTTCTAAATTTTTAATTATCTTAATTTGGCCCCTACACTATCAACATCTCAATTAAGTCCTCAAAACAGAAATATATAATTTAACGCTTGAAATTAATCAGGTTGAACTAGTTTTTGGTTGATCTAACGGTGAAAATAAAAGTAAAAACTTAATGGTGGAGTTAGTTTTTGGTTGACAAAATTAATAATTTATGGATTAAATTAGGACAATTGAACGTTTAGAGATAAAATTAAAATTAGAGATAATCTTTAACGACTAATTATTGTTTGATGTTACTATTTTTTTTATTAAACATGTTATTATTTTTTTGTTAAGTATATTACTATTTAATGTCACTATATATATAAAACGAAATTTTAATACTAGCACAATTTAAAAGTTATGAGTTGTTAATACTAATACAATTATCAATTTAAAAGTTGTTAGTTTTTTCAAATAAGTTTTGATTAAATATAAACAAAGTTTTTGAGTGGAGATTTTTGAGTGGATTAAATATTTTTTGAGTGAATTAAATATATTAAAATTGACTTATTTTCAAATAAAATTTTTGAGTGGACTTAAGTCAAAATAAATCTACAAAAAGAGAGCGACCTTCAAAGGACCCTATAAATAATTAGACAGCAATCATACCATCATTAATTGAGCCTCAAACTTATAACTGATCTCATAATCAAAAGGCCAATAAAATCTGGGTTTTAAGCCATATATGTTCAAAGAAAGGGCCAATTTTTTTAGGTGCATAGCTGGTTTAAATTAAAAAATTTTAGATCCATTAATTTTTATACTCTAGAAAAATCTTATGAAAATTTAAACCCACTCAAAAATAAATGACTAATGCTACACTGACCAAATTTAAGAACCAAAAAAAATAATCAAATGATATAGCGGTTGACGTCGAAAGCTGATTAGGCAATATTAATTCTCTTCTTGGTTGAATACTCATATTGTGCAAATTAAGGAAAAAAGTGAATTAATGCAAATACTCTTCATGGTTGAATACTCACATTGTGCAAATCAAGGAACGAAGTGAATTAATATTGTCTAATCAGTTTTTCACGTCAGTCGTCGTGTCATTTGATCATTCTTTTTGATCTCTAATTTTGATCAGTATAACATTACTCAAAATAAATTTGAGTAGTTTAAGCTCATGAGTCATGAACCCAACCCACAATGATATACCAACAGGCAATTGGTATAATAATACCCCTTACTTTGTGAAGATTTTGTCTTCTTGAAAAAACTTCTTTCTCTCCTCCCCATCCCCTAAAAAACAAAATTTGATATTAAATATACACACCACTTATTTGTAACCATTCGTTCATTCTCTCTCTCTCTCTACAAAACTTAAGAAATCTCTCTCTCTCTCTAAACTAAACACAAGCTTTTTCTTTTGTTTGTATTATTATTTTTTTATTTCTATTATAAAAAATATACCTAAATTTTTTTAAATATTTTTATTGAACTTAAAAAAATTAAAATCAGTAGACCATTCTTGTTTAAAATTAGAAGAAGTTTTTCAAAATTAAGATTAATAAAAGTTTTCCTTAGATTGACTATCATAAGAAAAAATAGGTAGATTAGTGATACAAGCAATATAAAAGGAAATGATAATGATGTTTAATAAAAAATAATAGTACTTTTACTCTCAAAATATAAGAAGAATAAAATTTAAATAAAAATTATTAATATTAAAATTTAAAAGCCTCATATTTATTTATTGTTTTAGGCCTCAAACAGTATTAGATTGTGTAAGCCCTCATATATTTATTCTAAATTATAGTAGATTATTATATGTTGTATTGATACAAAATGAAATAAGAATAAAATAGATGATTGTAAGATGGCGAGTTTAGGAACTGTGGAGACTTTCGGGGTAATCATTCTTAAGAATAATTGAGTAAGTGAAATTTTAAATGTTTTTAGGACAAAGTAAAATTAAAATGAAAGGTTGAGAAACTATGGAATAGATAATATGAAATGTATTAAAAGTTTGAAAATAGTTAAGAGTTAAAACACATATTTAGAAAAATTTAGGTAAAGAGGAATTTGACACTATTTTAGTATTTTGAGCACAACTTTTTTATCTTGATGTTCGATTGTGCTAATTCTTGTGGTATTAGAAAGTAGACTTCAAGTGTTACAAAAATTAATTTCATAAAAAATTTATGAATCAACTTTTAAGTAGGTCAAAATCGAGCCAAAAATTTGGGACAAAAAGTCACCTGCTAACAAATACGAGAATGTCTGGACACATTAAGCAAAGAGTTAGGTTCATTCAGATGCAAAAACATGCATTTGGATGCTCGTTTGAAGTCAGCCCGACCTATTTTGACTATTTTCTCCGATTTTAACACTATAAATATCATATTTTAGGTTTCTTTTACCTATTTTTTAACGCCCAAAAAGCCTAGGAAAAATTTGGAGAGAGGAAAACAAACATCTTTGAGGATTGACACATGTGAATCGCACAAAAATAACCCGTGCTTGAAGGCACTAAAAAACCTCGATCACCGGTTATACAATATAAATATTTCAAACAATACTTTATTTTTTTTATTATTTTCTTTAATTACACAATTCAAAATTAATTGAAAAATATTATTTTTTAAAAAAAATTGACAAAACTTCTCTAAAAACATGATCCCTAAAAAATGTCAATATGTACCCAATTTATATATTTAATCATTATACCTAAAAAAATATCTTTTTTTTTGTAGGAGTTGATATTGACATATGTGTGTTGACAGGTGTATAGAGAGAGAGTTATATGAGAGATGTAATAATTTATGAGAGATGAGAATATGATATAGAGAGAGATTATGATATTAATGGGTATTAGATGTATTATGTTATTATCAGATATATATATATATAGTCGTCCAAGTCAAACTCTCGAAAAATAGAGTTATGTGAGAGATGAGAGTGTGTGTAAGAGAAAGAGATGTAAAAGAAATAAAAAACCAATTAGGATCATATAGATATAAATATAGAAAGATAGATATAGGATGACATACTTTGACAGAGATTCAGATCCCCTCCATTACCCCCTTCTTTCCAATTTTCCTCAATGGTCTGTTCGATAAGTGACACCTCAAAAAAAAAAAAATTCAATGAACAAGATTATTTCCAACTAACCGAAGTCGTTAACCATAGTTAACATTATCTTAATGGCAACACAAATAGACGTCAAAAGCGTTGGCGCTGGCGCTCAAATCTTAACCTCCTACCAATTCAATTTCAGCTCTGGCGCTCAAAAATATTTGACTCATCCCATATGCATATCTGCTGCACTGTAATTCATATTTGTTTGCATTTAGCAAGTTCTTCTCCTCTTCATTTCTATATATAATACAGATTACCGAACGAGAAAAGCAGACGAATTGATGCCAAAGTGAACAAATCTTCTTTTGCCAATGAACCTAAATCATCAATTCTAATTCCTCTTCTACTAATTCATTACATGTCTTGCCTTGCTATTTCTCATATGGTGTTTCTGGATCCCCAACTCTAGTTCCTCTGAAATATTTTTTTGTGCTCATGAGTTGTTTGTAAAAAGTCTCAAATGGTGGCATTTTGATGAACATCGAAAATTCATTTGAAAAGCCAATTGCCGATTATTGCATTAAATAAATACGAAAGCTAAAATATGAACACTTTAATGGGTTAATACTAAACACAAGAATTTTATTTCAATAATAGTTATAATTACTCAAGATATCAAAAAAGAGCATACTGCCAAAGGAACAAAAAATGTCAAAACCAATGAATCCTAAATAGTGAAGCCCCATGGTACGATGAAATCAGTAGGGGAAAAGATAAAAAGAAATTACAATGTAGCCAATTATTGGGAAAAATAATACCAAGAACAAAGAATCAAGAACCATGCCCAACCTACTGTTATGCTAATGGGCCAGAGCTGGAAAAGAAAAAAAATGGGGCACTTCACGTTTCCCTTGAAATTGCTTAAAAGCCACCAGTAATAACATTTTCAGCTTCCTTTGAACAATACATTGTGACCTTCATCTGGATCCTGCAGCTGGAAATTTAAATTCATTGCCTGCAACAAAAATAAGATGTAATTAAAAAATATCCCTCCTGCAATATAAAAAAAATATTCTAGTTCTCTACCTCTCTTTGGTCAAAGGAAAATATGTGCACTTAAATACCTGATTTTGTTGAATAGTATTCAACACCTGTGAATCTCCATTTGAGTCCCAGTCTAAAGGCTTCTGTTACCAGTGCATAACAAAATACAGTGAGCTATAAAAAAATGGATGGTTTAATTTGATGGATACTAACCCTTAGAAGTTGAGACAAGCCTCCTTGGGACAATACTTGAGATAGTTGGGAAGTGCACCATGGACTAAAATTTGTTGCCTCTGATACCTATCAGTTTGTAGAATGGAAAAATCAAAAAGTTTTTACAATCAAACTACAAGAGTAAATGAAAGCATTACGGGTAATGGATTGATAAATTTACAAGTGAGGTGTAGTTTATTACCGATCGAAAGTGGGTGTATGAACTTGTGCGATTGTTCACAGGGTGCACTACATGAGATTGAGCAGATGGTGTTGATGAAGGCTTCTTTTTTCTTTTTGAAGTCTTTTCCAAGAAACTTTTGGGTCGAGTGTTATCACGATTATGTTGACTCTTTCCTCTTTAAACCCATCACCTTTGTAACATTTGCATTATCTACGAAGACTTCAACACCGTTACTACCTTCTTGTGGATTTTCAGCATGGGTTGAAGAAACTACAGGAACATCTTCCTTGTCTTTATTTATATCTATAGGATTCAAGATAGTAGCATCTTTAGTCCATCTTTTCATAATGTAGTTGCTGGGGA